ATACCCACTTTTATCTAAGACTATTGATAACCCCACACAAAAGTGCCCTTTTTTCTAAATTGGTGACATTGGAAAAATAATAATAACAATAATAACAACAATAACAATGATAATAATGATAATGATGGTGATAATAATAGTAATAGTAACAATAATAACAATAGTAATAATAATGATAGTAGTAATAATAATAGTAATAATGATAGTAATAATAATAATAACAGTAATGATAATAACAGTAATGATAATAAATTACGGCCATTAATAGGCCGAATCGTAATCATAAAACAAGTGATCGGTCCAAAGAAAACAAAATGTGGAGTGCGGCCGGTAAAAGAAAGTTTAAACGAAGGGTTGGATAAGTTTGTTAAATTACGGCCGCTTGTAGGCCAAACCATAATCCATGTGCGCTGTTTGACAATAAATCAGTGCAAAATGATGATATTTCAGCTCAGTGATGTGGTTGACATGGAACATGTAGTGCTAGCATTCGCGAACGAAAGATCAGATACGATTCGTAAAGAGGTATATTATTTATAGACTTTTTACAAACAGCATCTGTGATAATTCGTCACGAAATGTCAGTGTCTAGTTCCGATATTAACGAAGTTTTCCTTTACGTAGACTCAATCGCGCTTGGAGGAGAGCTACGATATAATTAAGTTTTTTTTCGAAATAACGGAATAAATGACCAGCGAACCGGCTGCCGGTGCGAAGATGCGTTTTTTGCTTAGTTCCCCGCAGGTTTTTGTCGCTAACGGCACTGTTTTTCCTGCAAATATTCTAGCTTAAGAGAATTGAGACTGACCACCAGGACTGTCTGAAAAAACACTCCTTGAATTTTCAGCTTTCTAGTTTTTATAGTTCTCGAGTTAGCAAGTTACTCGCCAAAAAACTTTCACAGGCCCGTACATGGGAACCACGCATACCCAGGGTCTGGGACTGAACTCATTAGTACCTACTTGGACGGGGAACATCTTTAAAATTCCAACCTTCTAGCTTTTCAAGTTCCCGAGTTAGTCATTTACCCGCAAAAAACTTACGTGAGAAACACGCGGGCAAAAGTGCCCATTTCGGGGATTGGGGCTCGTACGTACATGTAAATTAACTTCCCAAAGTTTCAGCCCTGTAGCATTTGTAGATCTCGAGGTGAAAAATTGGTGCAGACGCACAGACAGACAACCCCTCGACAATATGCGTTCTAGCATTGCATAGATGCTAAAAACGCATAAAAAAAAGCCAGCAAAGGAATGTTCGGTTGTTCAACAAACTGGCAACTAACAAAAATCGACGAGGGGGAAGTCGTTTAAAATTATTAGGGAAGTTTTTAGATTGTAAAGCTGTTGCTAC